GGGCTACGGGTCTAATTGTTAAATAATACACAGAAAAGTCCTATAAGAGAAATTAAAATTATGAGTTACATAGATAATTTGTAACTGGGCTCATTTTCGAGGTCTTCTCTTTTTTGTTTTGCTTTTTTGCAAAAATGGAGGCTAATATTTCCCACTACAGACCGAACAAGCTAGTTCAACAAAGTATTTATTATAATGCCTTCTTTAAAACTCTGTTGAGAAATAAATGCGTCTCTGAGACCTCGCGCGAGGTAGCGAACCAATCAGAATTCTTCTTTTAATTTCAGCGTGGACCTGTTTACCATAAAATTAAATATATTTATTGGAAACATCACTCTGATTGGCTGTTCACTTGTTCTGTAATCGGAACTTAAACAGCAAGGACATAATAGTTCTAACTTCGATTGATGAAGACCATTACTGTATTGCACAGTTACATTTGAATTGTTTTTCAACTTGCTGCCGACGTCCGTAGCCTATAAATCTAAGTCAAAGTCGGTAAGAGAGTCCCTTACATATCTAGCAAATACAAAGTTTAAGTTCATATTCAAATTATTATTTAACATTAAGGTTCACTTGTGTTAATTGAAGTGTTAAAGCTCTAGCTGTTTGGCCGTTTATTTACTCAGTCAGTTATCCGATGAGCTCTGAGTGAGATTCCAGGCAAATGACTGGCTTTATGCCAATCTTTTACAGGTAGTCCAGAGATTGTAAACGTAAGCATGGCGATAAAGGCGTTCAGTGAGATCAAAGAATCCAATATGGTGAGTAATCCTGATTTTTTCCAGCTCTACGCTATCACACATTATCGTGGATTTCCATTATACCAGCATACGATAACTTGATTGTAACCGCTACCCTAACTATTATCAGTTAGGAAATTTCATGTTCCATGTTGATGTGTACTTCCCACGTCGTTGTGCACTGCTCGTGCGTGTAGTGCAGGATAGGAATGAAGAAACCATTAGTTTTCTTGAAAAGTCGAAGTGTTGTGAAGAACCATGAATCGTGAAAGCTGAATTACTGCCTGTAATACTATAAATATTGCCTTGGTAAACTTCATTCATCAAACACTTTATTCGTCCTGTTCTCGTCATTTCAGGAATTTCAAGTGTACGTTTATCTTCGCCAGCAATGGATTGATAAACGACTCGCACATCGAACCCCTGCCACACTGACACTCGGGGGGACTGATGTAGAGCGCATTTGGCTCCCAGATACTTATATTACAAACGCCAATGACTACGAAGTGTTCACCTCCAATCAGTTGGTGCTGATTGACAGCGAAGGCAAGATTTTCTACTTTGCTTATGTGCGGATAGCAGGAGCCTGTCAGATGAACCTTGTTAAGTTTCCCATGGACGTACAACGTTGTCAGCTGACCTTGGAGAGCTGTAAGTAATTCCTCAAAAACCATCCAATATACAGTTAACTGATTGGTATTACCGGTTCTCATGTGACGTAGTCACATTCCAAAACAGGAGCCATAATCGGGGACGGAGACCGTAAGCGCGCGCTACTTCTAGTATTGGGGCTGTCCCCATGATATGGGACAATTTTTCTATTTTTAGAACAAATTGCGCCATTCCGTGCGTCACACGCGCGTACACGCTGCGAGGATTTTTGCGGATGTAGCGCGGGGAAATGGCGTCCGAAATTCCCGAAATGTTTGATGCTTTT